ACATTTTAGGTATACAATATAATGACATTCATCATTGGAAATTTGCACCTTTACATAGTCTCTCTTGGTTCTTGTTTTTCACCTTTCCCAGCCCTCCCTTCAACCCCTCCAGCCCTCCCTATTTACAAAGATTTTGTTCCTATTTTTCCATTTTCTCATATTAATCCCATGGAATGGGATTATTTTATTTGAGCCACTTGAAAATACACAAGAACAAGTTGTCATAACTCAGTGGAGTTGCAAAGGGAATGATAGGGATTAAATTTGATTTTGTGCTTATTATTTCTATTCTTTGTTTTGGTTTCCACCTGCAAATGAGCTCTATGATTTCCATAGGAAGGAAGTAATTCAGAGAAAACATTCATACCAACTTCAGTTTTTCATATTTTGTCTGTACTTCTCTGTGAACATGTAATTTTAGTAATAATCTAACTCCACCCAGTCAACACACTGAATCAAATTCTATACTGCTTAATATGTTTTACATTCTATTAAAAATTACAGTAATATTGAGAGAATTATTTTTCACAGGGTAAATGAGTAAACAGTGATGGTGAGCCTTTTAAAGACAAAGTGCCTAAACTGCAACCCAAAACCCACTTATTTATCGCAAAGTGCCAGCACTGCCCCTGTGTGCACTGTCATCTGATGCTCAGCTGTTGGGCCAACTTGACTCGAATGCCGACAGAGAGGGCTCTGTGTGCTCACTGCGGCACACATGCCATAAGTTCACCACCACTGGTGTAAAACATTTTCATTCTAAGCATAGGAAACAAAATAGCTGCTCAGTTTGGTATAAAAGTTACTCTAGGGCTGGGGATTTAGCTCAGTGGTTGTTGCCACCTGCCTCACAAGCACAAGGTCCCTAGTTTGATCCCGAGTACCAAAAAAAATTATTCTGAGTTTTTTATATAATTACAAAAAGCTACAACTCAACTGTTTCTGTTTTCATTATTTTGATGTTACTAACCTTCTTACCAGTCCTCCTTATCTTTAATGACGCTAAATTAAGATTTGAGTTGACTTCTTCAGTTAAAAAACATTTGTTTGGAATAGAGAGTCTACCATATTCCACGGTTCTTCATAACAATGGGCAATAGCAGTCAGAAAAATTTGTTATGTAAGCAGCAGCCCAGTGAGAAGTGTTGCAGTTTTCTAGATATCAATTAGGAAGTGTAGGTCTCATCCTCAGTGTCTACTTTCCCCTGAGTCCTAGTGCTATTGGCTGCAGCATGAGAGCATGAGAAAAGGAAGAGTAGATACATAGAAAGAAAATCACATTGAAACCTGTGTTTAAAAAGTCTAGTCTCATTATTAAAGAAAACTGGAGTTGAGGTTGGAGGTATAGCTCAGTGGTAGAACATTTGCCTAGCATACACAAGATCCTGGGTTCAATCCCCCACATCCACCCCACCCCACCCCCCACCTCCCCACCAGAAAAAGGAAAGAAAGAAAATTGGAGTTAAAAGATGAAATTGTTGCTTTCCTATAAATGTAGTGGGCATTTATAGTAGTGATATAAACTGTTTTCATCCAGTAGACTCTAGCTCTGTGTTTTTCTCCCTAGTTCACCACAGAAGATTTCTCTTCCCCCAGCAAAGCCTGAGGCACCATCTCTTCATCCTGTTTAGCCAGTGGGCAGGCCCCTTCAGCATTATGTTTACTCCTCTGGACCGGTACAGTGACAGGAATCATCAGATTACAAGATACCAGTATTGTGCTTTAAAGGTAGGTGATGTTTTCCGCACTGAATGCCAGTTGTCAGCTCAATGGTCTCTTTCCTTAAACCAGCAACCATGCCTTAAAAATAATATCAACAGCTGGAGGTATAACTCAGGAAAAGAGCACTTGCTTAGCATGCACGAAACCCTGGGTTTGCTCCCCAGCAATGCCCCCCCAAAATAAGAGATTTTAATAAGTAATATGATATAATAAAATAATAAATTCATGTACAAAAAAGTCAAATGGATAGTAACACACATATTAATACATAAATTGTCTTAAAATTTCTAAATATACTCATTTAAACACAGATTGTTAGATATGTATAAAAGATGTAAATATTTGAGTTGGGCTCACACTTTTAAAGTGCTACAGTTTTTCATCCAGAGAGCCAACTCCTTATTTGCTCCTTAAGTAGCTGTCTTGCCAACTGTCTTCCAACCCCCACAAAAAAATCACCTCAGATTCAAAATTGACCAAGAGCTATGTCTTAATCTCTTTTTTCATTGCTGAGACAAAATACTCAACACCCAAAGTTAAAAGAGGAAAAGTTTATTAAGCTCACCATTTGTAGAGGTGTCAGTCCATAATCGGCTAGCTCCAGGGCAGGGTGGCACGGCAGAGGGCTATCACAGAGGAGAAACAGCTCATGGCGGGCAGAAGGTAGCAAAACAAGCAAGGGACAGCCACAGCTCTTTCTATCCCTTATATCTTACCCAGGCTACTTAGGGTGGGTAGCGCTCACAGCCTTAATCCTAGTGCCCTTGATCCTACCTAGCACTGCACCATGAATCAATCCTAGAGTCACACACTCTAGATCCAACCACCTCTGAAAAAGCCCCACCTATGTCTGCATGAGGCTTTGGAGGACATCTAAACACAAGCCATAACAGGCTATATGCACTTGTTTGTCTCCTCCTATCATAGAAGAGTACTAGGTATAAATTTCCATACTGTGAGGACTGTTCTCAGTTTTCAGAAGCCTGTACCCTACATCCTAATGTCCTTTAGAAAAGTAACTATATATCAGCTCTGACATGTGCACCATTGGTTACTGATTCAGGTTGACTTTCAGCTCCTTGAGGTCTATTTAAATAATGGTCTGACAGTCCATTGGACCTGCCAAGTACAAATTAGCCAAGATGTCTCATCTTCACATCCTCCTCAACCCCCTTGAAGATTCTAAAATTTAAATTCTTCATTTACTTTACCTTTAAGGACCATCATTTCTGTTTTTTCACATTTTGTCAATTCAACACGTTAGTCAAATATTTGTCAAAAAATTTAAGAAATTAGATTTATCTTATAAGCAGAATTCACTTGAAATCATTAAAAAAAGTAAAAATTATGAAATGGACATTTTAAGTACTCATTCATCATAAAAACTTGTTATATTAAAAAATTACAAGTCCAAAAAGCTAAATTTATAGGCTTTCAATTTTTGTTTAAACAGATTTTGAATCTGGTATTTCTTATTAAGTCTTCTAAGGAATGCTTTAAAATCTTGGAAGAATAACTGCCTTGTAAAGGGCAATCATCATCTATAAATTTGATAGTTATGCTCTGTAAAGCTAGTTGGATACATTTTTCCAGATTTCATTACCATGTTTTGTTGTGTCTTTATTATCAGGCAATGTCAGCAGTATTGTGTTGCGGCCCTGTTTTTGACAATGTGGGTCTTTCCCCTGATGGCTACCTATATAAGTGGCTCGACAACATTCTGGCTTGTCAAGATTTACGAGTAAGTAGTAGACAAAAATATAGTGCTTGTGTCTTTGGGATTCTGCCTTGGTTGAGTTACTAAAATGTGTAAGCATTGCTCAAAACACAGTCTCTTCCCATATCAGACACACAAGTACAGATTTATGTGTTACTCACTTGGGTAAAGTATGTTAGTCCCCTATGGTAAAGTGACTAAAACCACAGTAACATTTACCAAAATTGACAGAAATTGGATTATAAATCAAGTCTTAAAACAATTTAGATAGTTGAAATGATACAGGCTCTGATCTGTATTCAAGGTAGCATTAAGCTGGTAATAAAAAGTAAAAAGATAAGTTAAAATATACTTCCAGGTAACTAGTGAGTCAAAGAATAAGTAACGCTGGACACCAGAAAATATTTTTCTGCGAATAATAATAAGACAGACTGTAAGTAAAGCCTTGCTTAGAATAAAATTTATAAATTTAAATGCATCTGGTAGAAAGAAAAGAAGGTCAGTAGTGACCTAAGCATTTGACACATGATCCAGTCACCTCCCCAGGAGACTCTTAATCCAGTCAAGTTGGCAATTAAGATTCACAGGCACAGCTTAGTTCATTTGTGCAGCTTTAGCAAAATGGCATAAACTGAGTAGGTTATCAACAGAAATTTATTTCTCACAATTCTGGAGACTGAGAAGTTCAAGATTAATGTGCTGGGAGATTTGGTGTCTGGGGAGAGCTCACTTCCTGGTTCATAGATGGCCATCTTTTGCTGTGTCCTCATCTGGCAGAACTGACAATGGATTTCTCTAGGTTCCAATTTAGAAGGCATTAATCATACTCGTGAGGGCTTCTCATGGCCTCTTTACCTCCCAAATGATTCATCTCCAAGTACCATCACATTCTATGTTAGGATTTAACATATGCATTTGGAGAGGGCACAGTCCATACCATCAGGGAAATGTAAATAAAAGCCACAGAAGATACAAATTATAAGATACATAAAACTCCATTTGTATATAATTTTAAAATAGCCCTAATTAGTGGTGTAGAAATCAGGATACTAGTTGCCTCTGGGAAGAAGATAGAGCCCCGTGATGTATTCTAATACCACAGGATAAAGTTTCTTAAGCACAGCAAAACTTGCTGATTTTCTTTCAGGTCAAACTAACTAATGCTACTTTTTAATGAAATATTATTTTCAATTCCTTCACAAGAGAATCATGAACTTTTATCTGCTGCATATTACATAAAGTGGTGGGGGAAGAGGAACTAGGTTAAAGAAGCTTGACCATCTATTTAGAATATCACTTCCTTTTGGATGAAACCCAGTAAGTAAACAAAGAAGCCGGAACTGTTCTTTTCCACCTAGTTGCAACTGGCAAGAAGAATGGACAAGTTCAGGAAAAAGTGGAGAAATGTTTCTTTCTAAAAGGAATGTAAACTCCAGGCACCAGGCTTCTCTGTGAGGAATATCACCCAGTATTCGACAGTAGCTACTGGGAATCTTCTGTCATGTATCCTATTACTTGTATCCAGTGTGATTTTTTTTTTCATATGAAAGCCTCTGATTATGAAGTCTATTGAAACTATATTTCTTTTTAAAACTATTTTTCAATTGACATACAAAATAGTATGGATTTATCATGGACACCATAATGTTCTTAAGAATATATACATTGGGGCCAAGGATTTAGCTCAGTGATTTCGCCACCTGCTGTGCAAGCACAAGGACCCAAGTTCGATCCCCAGTACCAAAAAAAAAAAAAAAAGAATATATACATTGTAAAGTGGTTAAATCTAACAAATGCATTACTTCATAGAATTACCATTTTTGAGGTGGAAACACTTAATACTCAGTCTCTTAAGCATTTTTAAGCATACAATATATCATCATTAACTATAGTTCCCATAAAATAGATCTCTTGAACTTATTCCTCCTAAGAGACTACTACTTTTTGAAAGACTGGTAGCTAAGCATCTCACAGTATATTTTACAATCAAGCCTTAAAACCATATTCCCTCTGACTTTTTTCTTAAAAGACTTCATATATATATATATATATATATATATATATATATATATATATGAATGATACCCATTTTTATATTTTCTTTTTTAACTATCCATATTTTTCAGAAAAAAAATATTAACAATAAAGCCTTTACTACTTTTTCAGAGTTAAAAAATCAAGAAATGGTATACCCTACAAAACAGATTTACATAGTCAAATTTAGTTTACACATGTTAATTTTCATTTGGAACATTGCGCATTGATGAGCAATGTGTGTTGTAAACATTATACAAAGTGACTACCATAGTCTTTACTTTCATTGTACCCAATTTATGTTGGCTAAGCTTAATTTGTGTTTTTCTCTAGAACATTCTCTCATTAAGTATGAATACTTGATTTGCTCTGGTATTCAGGTTCATCAACTCGGCTGTGAAGTTGTTGTCTTGCTGTTGGAACTTAATCCTGACCAAATAAACCTTTTCAATTGGGCCATTGACCGTTGCTACACAGGTTCCTACCAACTTGCATCTGGCTGCTTCAAAGCCATAGCAACTGTATGTGGAAGCAGGTATGAATTTTTCTAATTAATGGTCAGTGGCAAGTATAATTAAAATTGCTCTTCATTGATGTGAATGAGTGAGAGCTAAATGTTTTCCAATTATCTGAGCTGTGTAAATCCAATGAGAGTATAAAATAGTCTCTATAACCCATAGAGATGAAATGCTCCCTCTAAATTTGCAGTTCTATTGATTCTTCTCATTTGACCAGGGGAGTGATTTGTTGTTCATAGTACCTTTCTTTTGAATTGCCCAGAAATTCACAGTGAGCTATGAGAGTGGAATTTTTAAAATGATAAAGAAGATACATTAAAACAATTAAAGGAATGTCTAGAAATGTTTGCAACAGGTATGACCTGTTCCAGCTATCTCGTTAGCCAAATCAAACCCAAGAAGCCTTTCACATATTTGAGTCCCCTTTGTCTGAAACCAGAAATGTGGCACCCGAGACTCCAGAGATTACACTTTGGTGGAGGGATGCTGAATATAGAACCCAGGACCCCATGCATGCTAGGCACACATTTCTACCCCTGAGTCCTACCCCCAGCCCCAAGATTGTACTTTAATCTTTTAAAATGACAGCCCTTGTCCTGTAGTCATTTAGTGAAGCTGTTTATCCTCTCAATTTGTCAATTAAAATAACTGCATAGCTAAGATGAAAGGGTTAAAAAAGATTGCCCAGATCCCATAAACTAATCCCCAGGAATACCTTATATATTAGGAAATTTGAGAGAATGTAGCTCGTTTATTTTTAAAACAACTCAGAATGTCAGTTTTTCTTTTTAATTAAATGTTGTGTTTTAAGTTTTAAGTAGCTACCTTGAGCTACTGCATCAAGGGAATAAAAGTGAGCTAATTTTAAATTCCAGCCTACTGTGAGTCTAAATAAATATGTTGGAAGACATCTACTTTCAATAAACTTAAAATGAGCAAGCTATTTAAAGAGATGTTTCTCTTTAAAACTTTTTATCTTTCTTTTGTACAGATAGTAGGTAACTTTTCATGTCTAAAGCTTACATTATCCATAATCTTAGTAATGGAATTCTTATCATACACTTTAATCTCCATAAAAGTCTTAGCAGTTGACAATAACCTAAACTGATTTTCTATCAGGTTTTATTTTTCTATATAAGCTTTACTAAAAATTATGTATATCTGTAAGACATTACCAAAATAACATTGTTGGGGAAATCTTCTCCAGAGTGTTTTTATTTTATTTTCAAGTAATTCAGCATTCTAAAAGTAACATTTTGTTTATATGAATCTTTGATTTTTTAAAAAAAATATGTATTTAGCATCCATGACTTGGACCTCTGTGTTTGACACAAATAAAAGTAATAAATGTTACCCTTCTCTTCTACAAAGGAACTTGGTGTGAATTGCCGCATCCTAATGTATTTCATTGCATGCCATCTCATAAAATAGCACATGGGCCAGGGATTTAGCTCAGTGATTCTGCTGCCTGCCTCGCAAGCACAAGGTCCTGAGTTCGATCCCCGGGACCAAAAAAAAAAATAGCACACTGCATTTCTCTGACTAAATATAAGTATTTTTCCTTAGGGAAAACAAATAAATGCTAAACAAATTTAGCAGTATAGTCTCAAGTTCCATGATATTTCTAATAACAAAAATATTACTAGTCTAGTCATAAAACCCTCCATATTCCAAGACGTTTTAATGTATCATCCAAAAGTCTTTTGGTCTCTAAGACCGTTTTCAACACAAAGTTCAGAATTTAAAGTTTCAGCTGGTAGCTAAATTTGCTTTCTCCATAAATTCTAAGCCTATGTAGTCTAGAAAGGCTTCTAGATTGGCTTAAGAAATTTTTGCTTAATGTTTTCATTACTTTTTTTCCAAAAGCAATTCTAGTGTTTTCAGATTTTGCTTTTTCTCTAAGTTTGCTTATAATAAGTGACAAAATGTCTTATCTTATGAAATATGTTCCTGAAAAGTCTGTATGGGTACCGAACCACATTTTAAATTTATCATTATCTGTATAGTAACATCTACATATCATTTCTAAAGCAGAGTCCCTCTTGCCAAATAATTACCTCCTCCTTTTCCAGTGGGAAATATATGCTGGATTTATTTTTAGAGGAATATGACAGTTTATAGCAGATTTGCTTATTAAGGACCATTTTTAATTGACTTTAAAATAACTGAAAAATTGGATTTTTTAAAATGATCATGTCAATTTCATTTACCTGCTTTGAGTTTTAGAAGAAGGATAGTCTATATAGTTAATCAGTCCCTCTATTCATTAGCTGTGATAATGAGAAAACAATGTTTCTCTACATCCTTCCTTTTGGTTTCCTTCCCTTATCTATGTGTGTCTACTGTGAACTTACTGATCTCCACTCAGAACGATATGACTGTGTTGAGCCTCTCATGAGACTGGAAAAGGACCAGGAGACATGAGGGCAAAAATGATGGCAGAACTGGCAATATTAATGTTAAAGAATGTTTTATAAAATACATTTAAATATGTGGTTAAAAGCTATTAAATGCAAATCTTCAGCAGAAAAGAAAATAGCCTACCTGTCAGGCAGCTTCTGCATGTACTTATCAGCCTTCCCCTCAACTGAAAGTGAGATCAATGTGGAACAGATAAGGAAATTGTGAACAAAACTAAAAGGCTTTCCAAGGTTGTAAGTCAAGGTACATTGTAAGGACAGGCTATTTCCAGTCATTAGCTTAGCTCCCCAGAATTCTCTATTAAAATACTTGAAAATTCAACTGTTTTTATTTTTACCTTCCAACATAATCTTAAAATATTTCAATAGATGTTCTAGAATCATATGTTGGATCAAAGTTTTCATTTCTTTGTTTTTTTGAGACAGAGTCATATGGTAGTTGAGGCTGGTCTTGAACTTGCAGTCTTCCTGGCGAGTCCTCCCACCAAGTCCTCCCAAGTGCCTGGATTACAGGCATGCACCACTATACCTGGCTAAAAGTTTTGATTTCAAAAAAATTTTGTTGGGTTTCTTCTTTCAGGGGTATATTTTTTCATTGTTTTTGTTTTGCCTTAATTTCCACAATCTTTCCTAATTTAAATGGAGTCTAGAAAACTTGAATTCTCAAAAGTAAGTAGCCATTTCTTAAGGGAATAACATCCTTCTATCAACAAGGAGGCCAGGGATTTAGCTCAGTGGTTCCGCCACCTGCCTTGCAAGTGCAAGATCCTGAGTTCGATCCCCAGTACAAAAAAAAAAAAATCACTATAGTGAAGATTTGTCTTCTTCAGAGTCTAAAACGAGGAAGACAAGCAAAGTTTATGATTCCTGACTCCAAACTGTACACCCTAATGAGTGGTGAATTGCTTCATTTGGCTGTAACCAGCTGGAGCATTGCAGAACCCAGAGTTTGGAAAATTAAGCTCTGGAAGCAGACTTACTGCTAGGTTGAAATCATCCCTCTGCCTCTAAACAGGCTCTGAGCTCTGGACCAAGTTACTACAAATACTTATTCATAAATGGGATTAATAGTAGACTAAGGATTAAGTAATATCTGTCTCTCTATCTAAGGCCTTAAACATGGAAAGTACCCTATAAGCTTAATATTCAATAGTTGTTTCCAGGGAAACTATGAAGTAATCTACTCTATCAACTAGGAAAATCTGATTCTCTACAGAAAACCTCAAAGTCTTCTCCAGCCTTGTCATTTAGTTCTTATAAGCTAGAGCTAGTGGGAATTTCCCAAGTTTTTCAAAATCTCTTCTTTCTATATAGTTTCATATCTTGTTTAATGTCTGCATCAAATCTTCCTTTCATATTTATCATTGGTTTTTATTCTGTAGGCTCACAGCTGTGTTTCTTTTTTACTCTTTTATTGCCAATGTTCAGTAGTTAATACTGAACATAAAAGATTCCAGCTCTAAACATATTTTAAATATCTAGGTGTAGAAGTTTTTGTTTTTTGTATTTTTACTTTTATCCGTACATGTTTGCAGTATGTAATGATTATATTCATCCTGAGGAGTTGGTACATGTACATAACACATCTTAATTCTGTTTACTTCCCCTCCCCTTTGATGTTTTATTTGTGGTCTTATGCTCACTTGAAATTTTCCTTTCTTCTCTAGGTTTCTTGCATTTTCCGTATCTATGCTATTCCTTTCAGTGCTGTTCCATACAAATTCCACAGCTCAGTTTTAAGCAACTTATTGAGTGCCCTAATTACATACATGGTCCAGTCCATGGACCTGCATTAGACGGAGACTTTGTCTACTCCCTTTCTTCCTCTAAAGAACCAATAATCCAGCAATATTTTCCAGTGTTCCTCTATATAAACATACATGTATTAAGTCCTGGTCTCAAAAGAGAGCACTAGGTGAGATATTTCTGCTACTGTTTGGCTTGGGGGGAATTTTGTTTTCAGTTCCATATTCAGAAAGGTTGTCTTCAGATACTGCGATTTGTAAGAATTCCAAATTGGACTGGCTATGCAGGACACTATTGTGGTCAGGCTAAGGATTGAAAATGCTGTGGATAGAAGCTTGAATTCTTTGGAATTAGACATATTTAAGAGTGTAAGCTGGGTGTGGTAGCACATGTGTGTAATCCCAGCACTTGGTAGGCTGAGGCAGGAGGATTCCCATGAGTTTGAGGCCAACCAGGCCTACATGGTAAGTTCAAGACCAGCCTGGACTACATAGTGAGACCCTGTCTCAAAAAAAAAA